ATTTTTAAAAAGATTTTATTTATTTATTTGACACAGAGAGAGAGAGAGATAGTGAGAGAGAGCACAAGCAGGGGGAGAGGGAGAAGCAGGCCCCCTGCTGAGCAGGGAGCCTGATGCGGGGCTTGATCCCAGAACCCTGAGATCATGACCTGAGCCGAAGGCAGAAAGCCACCCAGGTGCCCTAGAATTTAAATGTCAATATTGAATCCTGAGTTTTTCTATTTCTTCCAATGACAAAAAGAAGAGAAAATTAGATAAAAATTATTTAGGAAAATATCTGCAAATCATACATCTGATGAGGATCATATCCAGAATATAGAAAGAACTCTGGCAACTGAATAATAAAAAGAGAAATGGCCCAATAAAAAGCGGGCAAAGGCATAAAATAGTTCTCCAAAGAAGATATACAGATAGCTAATAAGAACATGAGAAGACACTTGACATTAGTAGTCATTAGGGAAATGCATATCAAAACCACAATGAGATACCACTTCATAGCCACTAGGATGGCCATCATAAACAAGTCAGACAATAACAAGTGTTGGTGAGGATGTGGAGAAACTGGACACCTCATACATTGCTGATGGGAAGATACAATGGCACAGCCGGTGAGAAAAACATTCAGTCCCTCAAAAAGTTAAACATACAGTTACCATATGACACAGCAGTTCAGTTCCACTCTTAGGTGGATACCAAAGAGAATTGAAAAAAAAAAAAAAAGTCCATACAAAAACTTTCAAATATTCATAGTAGCATAATTCATAATAGCCAAAACATGGAAGCAAATGTCCACCAACTGATGAATAGATCAGTAAAAATAGATAAACAGAATGTGGTACATTCATACAATAAAATGGGATTTGGCCATAAAAAGGAATGAAGTATTGATACATGCTAAAACATAATGAACCCTGAAAGCTGATGAGAGAAAAACTCTCTAAAGACCCACAAGGGAAACCATTCTAGATTTCTTTCTATGTCAGCATGACTGTACATAAACTTTGTTCAACCTAAAAGCCTGATTTATGGCCCACCAGGCATGCACTGTGCATCTGCTTTGTGAAGGAGTAGTCTAAAGGAAAACCTTCTTGTCCTTGAGATATTGATCAATGTTCCTGTTCCCTGAATTACTTGATGACAAAACTCTTGATTCCTGCCTTTATGCTAATCCATAATCTTTTGAGCTTCTACAGAATGTAAAAAGTATATAACCTTGTAAAAACGATTCATTCTCCAGAGTACTTTCTTCCTTATGAAGAGCATATTTCCCAGCAGCTATCCTAACTTGGGCTCAGATAAAATGCTCTTTCTTCCTGTTGGAGATTCTAAAAGATTTGCTCATTTTGCATTGACAAAGCATCATGCTAAGTGAAAGAAATCAGTCATAAAAAGCATATATTATATAATTCCACTTATAGGAAATGTCCAAAATAGACACATTGAATAGATACACAAAATGGATTAGCAATTTCTTAGCTGCATGCCAAACACCTACATCAGCTTTGATGACAACAAGCTTTTAGGTTAAACCTCTCAAATTAATAAAACTGTGATATCAGTCCACTATTAAGTCAATTAGCAAAGACTCAGGCTCTCTTATCTATTTTGAGAGGGAGGCAGGCTCCCAGCTGTGCAAGGCCTCTTAGGCCATTACCGAGGATTTTGATATTTTTTCCCAGTGAAAGTATTTCAGCAGGGGAAATCCAGGATCTGATGTGGGTTCTGAAAGATCACTTTAGCTGCTGGATTGAGGATGAATTCAAGGTGACAGAGTGGACTGGGAGGGAACCAGTGGGGGTGACTGACGTATATGCCCTCGGAACGGGTAACAGTCGGATATCCGCGTCATAGCACACACATGTGCGTGCACGCAAGCGCACGCACACGCACACACACCCAGCTAGCTGTCTGTGTGTGGAGCTCCACAAGCAGAGGGTCGATCAGCTTGCCTTCGCAGTAGAAACAGATGCACTGGGCTCACCCTCGGAAGGGAACCGTGTTCAGCCCTCATTCTGGGGCTGTGCCCTGTCCGTGAAAGTGGGCTCACCAGCCTGTCCCGGTGCAGACTCTGCGGGCACTGGGGCCAACCCTGATGCACGGAGAGGCAGGCTGTAGCCGAAATGCCCCATGGGCCATTCAGGAGAGGGCTGGGAAGGCACTTCTTTCCTTCAGCGGCCACGTTGCTTCCTTCCTGTCTGGCCTTGATTTGTGGTTCAGTTGCTGCGGGCTCTTCACCCTTGCATGACCCTCAGGGCCTGCAGAGCCCCGGGATGCATCACACGGAAAGAACAGGTTCTGGATATGTCTGCCCACTTGGGAGGAAATGGGGTAGCCCCGGCCCCTCCCCAGGGACAGAGAGCGGCAGAAGACCACGAGCACACAGCATGCACCAAATGTGATGGTAAAAATGCTGCTGCATGTTTTCCATTCCCAAGGACACCAGCTTTAAAGACTGAAGGCAATGCTCGTTTTTGAGGATGAGCGGCCTTCTGAACGTGAAAGGATCAGGTGGCTTTGATTTATCATCATCATGAGAAATGGGAGTTGTTTTTTTGTTTGTTTGTTTTTGTTTTTTTAATCCCACTGCTCTGCAGGAAATGCTTTGAAGTGCTTGACAGAGAGCCCTGGTCTCACCGGCCATCCCTCTAGGCCCTGGGATCAATCAGGTAGGAGGGCCAGCCAGGTATTGTCTTGCCAGCCCGAAACCTTGAACTTCTTGCGTGTAGGAGTAGTTCTTAGCTACGGACATTTCCACCTGATGCCTTGCTATGCTCCTGTGGCCCGACGAGCTCCTGCTTGGCTTGACTATTCAGGGCTCCAGTGTTGGCCTCTCTTGTGAAGTCTCTGTGCTCGACATCCCCAAGATTCTGGAGGCAAAACCCGAAATGTAATGCTGAACTTGGACAACGAAGCTCACCCAGAGGAAACACACCTGGACGCAGGCAGCTCATATCGGGAGTAGGGGCCCTCGGGGTGACCACGAGCCCCACTGCCAGTCACCTGAGCTTCGGTGCTTCCTATGCCTAAACTTGATTCTTGTGTGTATTTCTTTAAGCTCTATTTTAATGCTTCAGAAGCTTAAGCAGGACGGGGGGCAGGGGGAGCAGTTTTGAGAAGTGGTTTCGCATGAGGATCTAGACACAGGGGTACCAAGGGTGGCAGCTCATCCCTCCTCTTCCAGGCCAGACGTACAAGCGTGCTGAGACACCGTGGCCCTGGGGCCTGGGGGGGCCGCCTCGGGTCCCGAGCTGCCTCGGCCAGCTACCCTTGTGGTGCCCTGAGGTTTGCGCTTCCTGTAGGGGGTCTGCACACCCGAAGATGGTCAGCACACACGGTTCCAGGCCGCGCACACGGGCTCGCCCAGTTCTTACGGACCTGGATGCCCCGCAGCTAGGACCTCTCGAAGCTGGATTTCTCATGGGTGCCAGCTTTCAGCTCCGGCTGACCTCCGCCGGGGACCGTCCAGTCGACAATTCCTCCCACACCCTGAGCGCTGCAGCGGCTGCGCACTCTGCTCCATGTCTCCAAGAGCAGGTGTGGCATCAACATGCCCCAGCCTGGCGACGACTTTTAGGATGCCTGACTTAGGAACTCCCCCGATGTTTAGAAAGGTACCCTGGGAATATACTTCTGGTGCCAGCAAGCTTGGCTGGCCAAGAACAGAGAGAATATTCCATGAAAGAGGAAACACCCCTTTTCCTGGATTTTGCCAGACCGTATAGGGAAGTGGGTCAGCTGAACTGTCTCCAGCCGGATGCAGTCCCTCCTTGTCAGTGTCCCAAGGGTAAGCGACGGGTCTTTTATCTGGGTGGCATTTTACAGCATGTGGTTGCTTTATTAACACCCCCCGACCCTCAAGGAACTAATCAGTTTGTTTGCTTAATATGTTTTTTATGCTTTGCATAAAGAATAATAGAATTTTGGGGCGCCTGGGTAGCTCAGTAGTTAAGCGTCTGCCTTCGGCTCGGATCCCAGCGTCCTGGGGTCGAGCCCCACATCGGGCTCCCTGCTCCGCGGGAAGCCTGCTTCTCCCTCTCCCACTCCCCCTGCTTGTGTTCCCTCTCTTGCTGTGTCTCTCTCTGTCAAATAAATAAAATCTTAAAAAAAAAATGATAATAGAATTTTGGAATTGGGATGAATCCCATCCTAGTTCCTAAAGCGACGGAGTCCTGGGGGTTAAGGGACTGCTGAGGCCCCCTGCTGCATTTGCTGCTCCCCAGGGGGCTCCTGCCGTGCGGCCCCCACACAAGCCTTGTGCAGACATCTCCCTGGCAGGATGCGATTTCAAGCTCTACACAATGGTGCTGGGTTAATGTTCCATCTGCACTTAAGTGTCTTTTCTTTTAGAGTTTTTGAAAAAGTGTATTGAAGAATTCGGGGTCTTTGGCATACACATCTTGGGTGGGGGATGGAGGGTTTGAAATTAATCTGAAAAACGATAAACAGAGAGTGAACTAGGGAGCCCACTGGGGGGCGGTAAATGGATTCCATGCTATGTGGGCCTCACAGACCAACTACTGGATCCTTCCTTCCCCAACCTCCCCTCCCTACCCCTTTTCCATCATAACAAGAGCTGCCATTTGCCCACCGGGTATTGTACAAGACCCTCAACCCTCCCAGTCACCCTATGATGTAGGAATTATTATTCCCATTTCACAGAGGAGGAAGCCGAGGCTCCCAAAGTTGAAGCCACTTGCCCCCCAACCACACAGCTTGGTGAGTGGCAGAATTGTATTTATCTGATTCCAAGGAGTAGAAAGCCTCTCTTTCCACTTCACGTTGGTGAACACATCACTTTGCATCTCAGGGCCCTGCTAAAGTCCTGCGACACAGAGAGGTCCCACCCCATAGTCTCCCTGCTTTATGCAGAGGACCTGTGCTGGCAAGACCGACCCCTTTGTCTACCTGCAGAACTCTCCTTCCGATTCCGGCAGCAGGAGGGAGGCCATGGGGTTTTTCATCAGATCGGCCACTGCAGGGTCCCTGGGTGTCACATAGAAGAAAGGAACCCCAGTGCTGTTGTTCAAGGGGCCATCGCTGATGGGCAGGCAGTTCCCAAACGGCAGTCCTGGGATCTAACAAACAGCGAAAAAGGCTTTTTCAATGCAGGGTTTTGGATTGATCTGAGGCAGGAGCTTCCCTTGTGTCTCTGGCCAGGAAATATAGCCACGAGGATGGCATGGCATCATCATGGTTTTGACAGGTAGTAAATGAAGGCACAGTGGTTCCCAGCTGACCCAGTTCACCCAGGGATGGCTCCAGAATTTCTACAGAGGAGCTGAGCAGGGGCATTCTGTTTGGAAGAACAGCTAGGGGGTTATTCTTGAAGCTCCTGCGTATACATAGAAAAATGCTCCCTTTATGAAATTTAAAGTTATTTGTGGGAGGGGCGATGAAATTTATGGAGGGGTTCTAGAACTTTTTCCACAAGCTGCCCGTGGAGGCCCCACTCTCGCAAGGTTTTGAAAACTTCAGGGATAGAACTTAGGTCTTAACTTTAATATCTTATGTGATTTTTGGACTCCGGGAACTTTCTATTACTGTTTCTTTTAGAGCCACACCATTTTCTTTTTTTTTATTGTAATCAATATTTCATTACATAATTCAGCAACTCACCCTGAAGTCACAGAAACATGCTACACTCATTTTTGTTCATGATCATTCTGTGGAGGAGGTGAAGTTCTCAGACATATGTGCAAATATTTCTTAGGTTTTCCCAAGCCCTGCTGCGTCCTGCATCCCAATCTTCATGAGCTTTATTTACCCTTTACAGAGTGCTCTTTATTGTCACTGAGCTCAGAACTCAGGGGCTGTCTTTGCATAAAGCGTTATATGGTAGCGGTGTGTGTAGACTTGGAATAAGGGATGGCTTTCATCTTTGAAGAAGACACAATGTTCAGGAGTCTTCCAAAATGGTAATATAAGTTCAATTCACAGATTCTGTTTTTCAGCTTGTCATAACTGCCTAGAGTCATGCTTTGCACACGTGATGTGTACATGGGAAATGTTCCCTGAATGTATTGAATTTGGATTAAATGTCAATACTGGAAAGGGGAATTCCTAACAAAGCTAAGAAAAGAGATGTTGAAAGTCAAAGTATCTTCAGTACATTGGCACTAGACTTTTAATTGCTTGTAACAATCTGTGTATTTTTTTAAACATTCACTCTATCTTTTTTTTTTTTAAGTTTATTTATTTCTTTAAGTGATCTCTACATCCAACGTGGGGCTCAAACTCACAACCCCCAGATAGAGAGTCGCATGCTCTTCTGACTGAGCCAGCCACGCGCCCTGAAATAATTTGTGTTTTAAACCAAGATCAGCCTCATATTTAAGCTTCATATCTGTGTAAGGTGTGTCTTAGGAGCATAATACATAACTGTGAGAAACCATTTGGATGCTAGTGGTTAAGACCACCGCCATCATCAGAATAAACTTACTTATTTTTTAAGAGTAAAACAAGAACTTCAAAACTACATAGTCAACCACTAAGTTTCATATAGGAGGAAAGCAAAGTGGACAACCCAGTGACTTGGCCAGTTTCCAGATGGGTGAGACCCCCCAGTGACCGACACATTCCAAAAAAATTGGTTTTGCATAAATTCAATAGGATTTCAAACTACCTCCCTGTAATAAAACCCTTATATGGATCTTACCAGCCCTGAAAGCTTTCTGGAGGGTGTGTAATTATGGATGGCACATCCTCATATTTATCCATGTCATTTTGGCTCAAGGTGGAAACCTGGCTAACAGGTGAGTAAAACATTTGCGAACTGAATGATAAAACTGCAGCTGAAAACACCTCATTCCAGCATGTATACACTTTGCACCCTAAGCCTCCTTTCCAGAAAAATTCTTGAGTTCCATATTTCAAAATGTCAATTTCCACCACAGACCCCGTGGTGTCTTTCTCCCAGTGCCCAGTGTCAGTAGGTGACGGCGAAGTTCGGGGCTGTTGGGTGCCGCGGGCTGGGAGGCTGCCCGCACCAGTCTGTGATGCCGAAGGCGGGTCTGGCTTCTTCTGTGCAGGTGTCGGGTCAGGCGCTGGTTATGTGTACGCCTCTTTGACCACCTCAAGACTGCACTTCAGGGGCCATCCACCTGGCAGGATGCCTGGCTGTCAGCACCCTCCCCCCCCTTTCCCGGGTTAAGCAAAGCACAGTCTGGTTCCGTTATTTATGCGCTGTCCACCGTGCAACCCAGCCCGCCGGGCACGTCTGTGAGACCCGGGGCGGAGCACGGGTGTGGGTGGGTGGGGGGCGGTCGCCAGCGTTTCCCCGTCCCCAGGCGACCGCGAGGCACGCACCTGCAGCCGGCTCCCGGCGCGGCGGCTTACCTTCTCGTGGGCGGACACGGTGGCCAGACAGCCCCAGGCGCTGGCGTGGGCCAGGAAGCGGGCGGTGCCGGGGCGCAGCCTGGGGCCGCTCTCGCGCCGGTAGGAGAACATCCCGGGCGGCGCGGGGGGCGGCCTGGCGCGGGCGGCGCCGGGCGGGGGCGGCAGGTGCGCGTCCTCCTTGTGCGCCGAGGCCGGGAAGCTGCGCTGCCAGATGCTGCCCGAGTCCTCCAGCAGCGCGGGCAGCGCCTCCTCGGTGGAGGCGCTGTCCAGCTCCTCGTCCACCTCGTTGGTGACGGCCCAGGACACCGAGCTCACGATCACGTAGCCCGCGGCCGGCGACAGCAGGGCGCTGCAGCACAGCAGCCAGGAGAGGCGGGTGGCGGGCCGCGCGGGCCGCTGGCCGCGGCGCACGGACATCTTGCAGC